CTCTCAACTCCGGCGACCTCTCTCTGAAATGGAAACACCAGCAAACTCTCCTCACTCAAGGCAGTAGAATAGAGAGAATTTTGGGATGATTTGGTGAAGAATTGAGGGAATAAAGATTTCTTAAATAGAGGAAGGAAGGAGAAGAAGACATGGATGAAATATTCCTGAGTCACCAAAATCGGATAGTGCGCCGTTTGTACAGTGAGCGCCGATTGGAGTGTAGTCCCTGATTGGGACTCATTTCTGGTCCCAATTGGGGTACACTTTCTGGTCCAACTTTCTCCAAATTGAAATCCAATTGAACCGTTGGGGTCAGACAGTCAAACTCTACATAATGATATGATTTTCATTATTTATTGACAAACTTTAGAATTTACTTATTTTGGGGTCCTTCTCAATAATTAATTAATTATAAATTATTTAAATCTGATAGGCCTATTTTTGGGGCGTCACATTTCTCTCCCCCTTAAAATAATTTCGTCCTCGAAATTACCTGAGTCATTGGTTGAAGAGATTCGGATATTGCATCCTCATTGACTCTTCGGTTTCCCATGTTGCCTCTTCAGTCGAGTGATTCCTCTATAGCACTTTGACTAAGGGTACAGATTTGTTTCTCAATTGTTTGACCTCTCGTGCTAAAATTTGTACAGGTTCCTCTTCATAAGTCAAATGTTTGTCAAGAGTTACAATTCCCTCAGTCAAGATATGCGATGGATCGGAACGGTATCTTTTCAACATTGATACATGGAATACGTCATGGATCTTGTTCAATTCTGGTGGAAGTTCTAACCGATATGCTACTGGACCCACACATTCAATGATTCGATAGTGTCCAATATATCTCGGACTTAGTTTTCCCTTCCTACCGAAACGTATCACTTTCTTCCACGGTGAGACTTTCAGAAACACCTTGTCATCAACATTATATTCAATCTCCCGACGTTTTAAGTCGGCATAAGATTTCTGTCGATCGGAAGCCACCTGCAATCTTTCTCTGATTCGACGAACCTTCTCTTCAGTTTCGCGAACGAGATCAGGTCCTTCAAGCTTTTGCTCGCTTAATTTTGTCCAGCATACTGGTGTTCTACAGCGTCTCCCATACAAGGCTTCGTACGGGGCCATTTGGATACTCGCTAGATAACTGTTGTTATACGCGAACTCCATGAGAACCGGATGTCTCATTACAACCTGCTGAAGGCTAAGTCGGAAGACTAACGCGGATTTCCTTCTCACCAGGAAGACTAAGTATGACTCTTCCGGATTTGTCAGCTAAGAAACGGATGCCTCAGGGAAGACCGGAATTCTCAAAAAGCGGACAAGTGAGAAAAGACTTAGAAAATTATCTAAGTCTTGAATGAAGAAATTCTACCCGTTGGTAAGGAAAAATCAATCTCTTGATTTTCAACGGCTAGATTGAAGATAATTATGCTGATTCAAGAACAAATGATTCGAAGACAAAGTCTGAACCTCTAAGAATTGAAGAACCTGTCCAGAATTTCTAAATAAGCACTAGAAGACAAACAGAGTAAAGTTCTACAGTCCAGAATACTTGAAGAACAGCTAGAAGACAGACTCTATGGGAAAAGGAATCTCTCCTTTAACAAATGGGTATGTCCAAACACCCATTCCAATGAGGAATCCTCAAATCACAATCTTCATTCAAAATTGAAGCCAGCAAATGCAACGGATAGTCTATTTTGATTCAATGGATAGATTATCCAATCCAGCTATAAATAGCATCCTTGGAAGACTGGGAAAGATACAATAACAACAACAAAAATCATCAACAATAAGATAAACAACCACAAAGAGGCTACCTCATTCTCAGTTAGCCCAAAAAGCTTGATAAAGAGAGATTTCTAAACTCCTTATCTAGAAGCAAACTTCTCCTCCTTCCAAAGAGCTATAGTGTAAATATTTGAAGGTTTCCTTGCCTAAAGTACCACACCACGTTGAAGGATACAACTTTTGATCAAACTTACTGATTGAAAAGGGGTAGGTCAACTTTCTTACAAGTTGTTCTTGCAAGTCCTATTGTTCGGACCTTGCAGTTGTTGAAGAAGCGTGACCTTCGAAGGAACAACAAAGCCAGCACGAGTGCAGTAGCAACATTGGCCTTGCGACGATATACCGTGCAGAAATTCACACAAGTGTAATTTTTGGTTCATTATTCAACGACCAACTACATAGTGGATTTTGAGGACGTAGAAGGATTACCCCACCTTTGAACCTCGTTAAAGTTTGTGTGTCTCTCTCTTTTATCTTTATTTTTACTTGCAATTATATTAACTGTGAAAACTAACCCATCCATATTGATTACTGCTCACTCTACCCACCAACTTCCGCACATAATCTAAAGTTCACAAGAACTCTAGATTAACACTCATTTTCACGTTTTCAAAAGAAACGAAAAGGTTTTTAAATTTGTAACAAAGTCTATTCCCCCCCCCCTCTAGACTTTGTATCTCACCACTTCGGGACCACCAATTGGTATCAGAGCTTACTTCTCACTATCTACTTTTAGATTAACGAGAAGCGATCAATATGGTGAACAATATGGATCACGGTTTGCCCAAGTTTTCTCTTCTAGGTTATGATGATTGGAAGATCATGATGGAAGCACATCTCTACGCTCTACATGATTGCATGTGGATGGTGCTTGAGGATGGACCCTTGAAAATCCAAATGGAGAACCCTGAGAGGAATCCAGCTGCTCCAGATGTAGTCCAGTA